TATCGCAATAAATGCGACAAAAACATCTCCAATGCGAATGCTATATATATCCATACAGTACGTTTAGCTTATGTGTATTCATACGGCTTACAGAATAAAAATCGTTGTAGTATACTTATTTGAATTTGGCGCCGCTTGAGAGGGCCTGTAGCATATAGTTATTCGTTCGTGCTTGCCGCTTAGAAAGAAGGAGAGAGAGTGAGTGCGCGCTTGGCGGCAGATGCGCGAAGGTCAAAAGTATTTTAAAAATAAGGCCGTGGATAGGCAGAGAGCGCGAGATCGCTCGCTCCTCGCTCGCGCCTCGGCAGTGGACGTTGAAGGGACGGGCGGCGCTGTGATGGCAAGTGGCTCGCCGCGCGAGGTGAGTAACAAAAAACCATCGCGCAGATCTTTTCTGTCTATCTACGCGATTTTTTCTTTGCTCTTTCATGCGTCGATCCGACTTACAAATAATAAGCAACGCAAGTTTGTGCTAGTGTGTGCGTGCGTGCTGAAAGACCGAATGTAAGGGCCTCGCAAACGAAAAAGTCAAGCTGAATAGGAAAAGCTTAAAAGGCTAGACGTTGTGCGCGATTAATGGCGACTCGCCGCCGCCACCGTTTTAGCCAGTGTGTGGAGTGTGTACGTGTGACCGTCACGTGACACTCAGCCTACTAACCCTATAGGAAAACATACGGCATCCGAAGTTTGTCAGCACGCTTATGCGGCAAGAATTTTTTCTCATTTTCGAGCGCTTGATTTTCTATGTATTCGCGAAAAATTCAATATGCGCGTGCGTGTCTATGCGAGTACTGTATCTCGAGTTTCACGAGCACGTAGCTTCCGTTATCGGTGGAGACCATAGCGAGGTTAGAAAAGTGTAGCAGCTGTAAGCGCCTGATATTGAGGTTTAGATTTTTTTCTGAACTCGCACACATATGTGTGCACTAAGGTCGATGATAATGGACGATGACCGTATTTCCAGACGGTCATCGTTTCGTCATTTCCCGCTTTTGCACTTGCTGCACTTTACGAATTGCCAATTAGGCATCGCGTGGAATTTGGTTTCCTTTTTTTTTTCGTTACCATCGGCTGTTTTTTTTGGATTCGCTCATAAATTTTCATAGTAACCGGTTTGATATTAAATACGATAATCTTTAACAGCTGTAGCTGTGAATTGCTAATATTTTTTAAATGTAACTATATAATTTGACGAAAAAAAAATAATAAGTTGCTTGGTAGCTGCCAGGGATATTTAAAGGAATTATATTCTGATTAGAAGTGTGATTGTTAAAACGTGATATGAAAATGAATCGCGATATTCTCATGTTTCTTTTACTCATTCAATATCTAAATTCCTTTGCGGCTAAAAATAGAAACGTTTACCAGTGTAATTTCCGATGCACTTGGAAAGCTACATTACAAACGTTATTTTGGAATTTCGCCCTTGGGCAAAATACACATGCATACCGGGAAAAAGGGAAATCTTATCAAAGTATGTCAAAATGAGAAATTCTTCGTAAAAGTCAGCAGGAGAGGCAAAATAATATAATAATAAACGAAAATGGTTGCGTCGTGGCAACAGCGAGTCGAGTCACTAATTATACGACGACTAATTATCATCAATCGCTGATTACGAAATTAGATTAAAGCCGATAACTTGGCGTGTACGCGTTCGTCCTGTTTCTTTTTCATCGTTTTGTTCTTGTAACACTGTCGGTTTATGCAGATATATAGTGCGAGAAACGCTCGGCATATCGGTACATTGATTGCGAATCAATGAAATCGTAATAAATCTATAACTGTGTTTGATCGATCCTAAATGAAGCGCATTCTAGCGTTGCGGCGCGCACATCCACACACCCGTATATATTGGAATAAACACGAAGCTCTCTTGAAGTGTTGCGATTATTTCTAGCGCCGGCAATTTTCGCGCATTTCTTTTCGTCCGACTAATTAAACATTTATATTTAGTGAAGACGGTGTGAAAAGCAAAAATTCGAATTTTTCCCGATGAAGCGAGGACGAAAAGTCAATGAGAGATAGTATATTGTTAACAAGTGTCAGCGCTATTGTCGCGATTGAAAACATCATTATTTACTTTGCTCGCGAATTGCAGCTCACGTGTATTATAGCAGCCGCCCCACGATACTATATACAGTGTGTGTTTTCTCGCGAGGAGTCTGCGCAGACGCTTGACGGTCGCTCAACGTGCGCTGGTCAGTTTACATTCCACGTGACCCACAGCCGTAAGAGAGGAGGAACCATGCGAGCTTTATAGATCCCCGATCTCTTATTGTGTGTATATGTGTAGATTTTATTTGGTTTTGGTGCACGATGCAGCCTCCGAGGGCGCTCATGTCCCATATCTTCCCTTATTTGGTCCTGATATTGATTGGCTTTAGGCGATTCTCTATCGCTGATGCTTTGTCTACACGGGTTTCACCATAACTTTCAATATCTAATCATTTCGGTGCAAATGTTTTTATTAAGGAGCAAATTATAACATCAGGCATGCCAGACTTTTCTGTGCTTTCCACATCAACCTCTACCTCATATTGATCTTAGTTCTCTATGAAATATAATCCGCGTTTGGAAGTTGATGCGAGACGAAGATAATCGTGCAGCGCAGGCACGGCACACAAACAGGAATATTATTTTTTTAGAATTTCCTAGCTAAATTTTTATATTCTGATTTTAGACTCACTTACATTCAGTTCTTTTATATGATTTATAAATAGTTTGTCAAGGATGAATAGAAGTATATTTATAGTTCGCGTAATATCTTACATTGAGGGTAACGCATTCTTTTATTTTAATACTAAAAGCATATTTAGTATTAACCGTTGTTTTAAACCGTTGCTTTGAATTTTAATTCGTTAAATCTGTGGAGTATAAGTAACGATTGAAGTATATTTCGAAATCGGTGTACGTAAATAATAATTTTTCTCATTAATTCTACAAGTCATTCGAAAATAATTAAACTTTACTTCAGATTTTACTCTAGAATTGACTTTATAAATGTGACTATGAGATTCTAATAAAATCCCGTTACTAATTTGTATCAATAGCAGATTAAGTAGGTTGAGTTTGATTAGCTATCAATTATTTTGGACAATTCCGTTCTAAATGTGAAACTCGGTATGTGCCGATGTAAGCATTGAGAATGTCATTTGCAATAAATATTCGCAGACTTCTAAGAAACAACTCAAGAGTCGACATTCGTCGTAATCCCAAGTGAAAAGATTGAAGATTAAAGAAAGGCTGAACTAGTTACGAGTTGGAGTAAAATTAATCTATTTCTGTTGATAGACGCGAATTTCCTTAAATTTCAATAGTGGCGATAAACTCTAGCGATAAAGCCTTGACGTGTATAGGATGAAGCCTCCGCCCAGCACCGTTGTAAATTCCTTTCAGCTCTTCGCGCACCTTTAAAAACCTAACGGAAAAGGCATCGTATAGCTGGTATACATTAACATCCCAAGGCGCAGCGCCGTCTCTAGCCAGCGCAGAAAACTACAGTCTCGCGGCGATTAGGAATGTCCATATCGAAAAGTCGGCCCTGCGCTCTCCTTTTTCCGTTTGCTGGATCTGAAATGTGGTGGGGCGAGGGGCAGGGGGGGAAGATAGAGAAGACGAAGAGAGAAGGAGGAGAGGGACGACGACTAGTTTGTGAGTATGTGTGTGTGTGTGTGTGGCGCGCGAGGTTATGCGAAAAAATGTTTTCGGCACGCGTAGTAGCGGCGCGCCGTGAACCCTGAAGGGTTTTACAGTTAGATTGCAATGTGGCACATTTGCAGAAGCGGCTCGCGCTAGCGCACGTTTCTCTTGGCTGAGTAAAGCGTGCGAGAAGGAAATTCTTCTTTCACTCTCTCACTCGTGTATGTGCGTACGTGTGTAGGTAGTTTTTCCTTTGGATACATTATTTCCTCGTCTTTTGTACGCGTGCCTCGTTTGTGCGCATGTACGCCTGAAACTCAGCTCGCTCGCACACACGCGCGCACGCATTCACACAGCCTAACATTTATTCGGTGAGACAGGGGAGGGGGGATAGACGGGACACACACATCGCGCCCTTTGCAGTGGCAGCAGTATTCACTGTTTAACGCACACAGCGGTCGCGGAGAGACAGAGAGCGCGAGGCGTCTCTGCAACACGAAGCAACGTTTATTATTTATTTTGTTCGCGTTACGTTTCCGTTTTTACGCACGCGTGTGTGTTCCTGTGGCTGTATATGTCGGTGTAAGTGCGGGGGTGCAAGCAAGTGTAAGTGTGAATAACCGCACAAAAATACCACGTAGACCTTTTGCCGTGTAAATGTGTACGTCGTAGCCCACTAAACTAAGTAGCAGCAGTAGTATAGCCACTACCAGCCACCATCCGTTATTATACTCGTGTGCGTGTGTGCATCTCGGCTCTCTCTTTGCGTTTCTTTTTTCTTCTTTTTTCCTGGAAAAAAAAAATCGCGCACACGAGAAGCGTCCTTGGCTGCCGTCCGCGGGAGCGAGAGCGTGACACTGGACTCGCCTTTAAGCATTATTATTTTTTTTTATTCCCGAAACCTACGCCCGTGTCTAAACATACGCATGTAATTCACGCGCGCGGCAGATGAGGATTCATCGTCTTCCCACATGGTTGCTACCTGCATGGTGTGATTTTTGGAGTGTACTGTGCCATCATCAGCAATCTGCGCGAATCTTATATGCGTGAATGTGGTGTAAACATTCGCTTGAAAATCCATAGGCAGTGGCTCGACCACACTCGCACACACGCTCGCGCGCATGCACTGCTCGCAAGGCGCGAGTGTGTGGTGTGCGGCGGTGGCGGCGGCATTGTTTACGTTTTCAAAAAGGGAGAGAGCAATCACCCTTGTGTGTCTGTGGGTGTGGGTTTCCTTACATGTGTGTGTGTATGTGTATGTATGCGTGCGCGCATCTGTGTATGCGTGCGCACAAGTGATTAAGGTAGTTTTCTTCTAGAACAAGTAATGAGAACGTGCTATCTGTTTTGTGGTGTTGTAGGGTCAGGATTGGAGTTAAACAAGATGGACCAGCAGTATAAGCTCCGCTGGCACAATCATCCAGCTAATCTCACCGATGTACTCAGTTCCCTCCTGGCAAGGGAAGCACTCTGCGATGTAACCCTGGCTTGTGTTGGGGAGACATTCAAAGCCCATCAGACTATACTCTCAGCCTGCAGCCCGTACTTTGAGAACATCTTTCTACAGAATATTCATCCTCATCCGATAATCTTTCTAAAAGATGTCAACGATACAGAGATGAAAGCCCTGTTACATTTTATGTATAAGGGTGAAGTCAACGTCAGTCAACATTTGTTGCCTATGTTTCTCAAAACTGCCGAGGCACTGCAGATCAGAGGTCTCACTAACGACAGTGTAAATAATGATGCCGATGAAAAGAGCCCCAGCCCAGAACCAGAGGCACAGCCTGTTATCAGGCATTCTGACTCACCCAGCATACAAAGTCATCCTGAGAAGAGGAAACGAAAAATGTCTGGAAATTATGATAATACACTCAGTGGCCCACCCAGCGAAAAATATCATTCTGACTCTCAGGTTGGTACCTTTCAGTAAATAATTTTCTGTTAAAAACTCTTTAGAGTTTAATTGTCTGGTCAGAAAAGTTCATACTTTGATGATAATTGCATCACAATAATATCTGCATTATCAGTAGATTAATTTATTCATGTTCTCATTTTGCTCCAAAGAGGTTAATAGCTTATGTTAATTCAGAGGAAAAGAAAATCTTACAAATAATGCAAAAATTCTTTAACTTGTTATTATTAGTTCTCAACTTGATTTATCTTTTAACATTTCAAGTTTTTAAGCAAAATTTTCTTCTTGATATTCTCATATTGTTTATGTCCTACTTTGAGCTTTACATCCTTGTACTTTGAAAGCATTAAAAATAGACTAAGCGTGTAAATGTTTCATACATGTAATGAGTCACATTAATCTTGTTTGAAATACACATGAAACTCCTGACTTTTCATTTCTAAGGTTACTTGATACCTCGTATGTGCCTCACGTATAGAGCAGAAATAAATATCAAACAATAATTTTCAGCTGGCTGCTTAGGAATTTGTGTTGCAAAGTTTCCAGTACAGTCAGGTGCTATATTTAACTGCCGTTAGTACTAGAACTTTCAAAACTTTCACTCATAAGCTGTGTACATTTTATTTGACCTAATTTCCTAGCACATCTTCCTAAGTGATTAGTGTGCATTTTTTGAATGTCTTCTATTTCTTGAAACGAGCTGCAGTGCATTTGCCAGTTGTTGAAACATTTTTTTTTCATACGGCAGTAACTTAAAATCATTAGTGTTTATCAATAAGCTTTATATAAAATACATTAATGATATAGAGCATTTATTGAGTTACTTGTATAAGAGACCATTAATATACAAATTAATATTTAATTTTTATTAATATTTTTATGAGAACATTTATTTTGGATATTAAATGTAAAGTGAAAAATAATAGCTAAAGTAAATAATTTAAATTAGTTAATGCAACTTTATTGACATTTATCAATATAGGTTGATAAATTTTGTGAATACCATAGGTTAGATAGGATGTTTTTTAATTTTTAAAACACTGAGGGTGTATTTGGTGTACATAGTATACAGAAAAGGTAGAATATAAAGTCTAAGTGAAGTCTAGAAAAAAAATTGCTTGCTACATCTTTACTGATAAAGAATAATTTCAAGCAGTAGCTATCACAAAGTTGTTAAGAACACAGATAATATATTTATTCTTCTTCTGGAGGCACCGATAACATTGAAATAACTATAAAAATGAAAATTATAAGAAGGCAAATATAAAATAAACTGTGCTCTTTGTATTGCAGGCATCATCCCAATGTAGTTACAAATCAAGTCCTACAGTTCCAAAGTTAAATTATGCTCTGGCAGGAAATCTGGAGGATGGTCGCCAATCCATCTCTCCACAATCTCAATCTCAAGCCCCAATTAAGCAAGAAATTGACCATCATATGTCTGATTTCCACGACAACATTTCAATGCCTGTAAGTATTATGTATTTTGATGATATATTGTAGTTTTGCATCTTGCATACTTGTAAATAACGTATTATGGGTATACTGAAATACTCTTAAAGTATACAAACATATTCATTGACACTTAATTTGATTTGCATTAAACTAGTCAATTGCATATGTACCAAAAAATTTCAGTATATCTCATATAGGATTGAGCAGTAGTAGTTTAGATTTGATCCTATGCGTTCAACATGATTGCATGCTTGCAATTATATGTGAAAAAATCTCTTTTTATCATTCTTTAAGAGTGTAAATAAATAATTGAAGGATGGATACTAATTCTTTGACTCCTTAAAGTTTCAATCGACACGAGGTAGTACCATGCCGAGCTTGCGTAAAAATAAAATTTTGTGCATCAATTTCTGTTTCATTATCAATAACTCCTGAACTCTTCTCCTGAAAATCACAGCAACGTCTTTTGATTGTTGCAACATTAATTTTCATGACAAACTCGCCAGTGGACGCCTCATTCTCATCCTGCATCCGTAAAAAGAACGCAGTTCGAGCATGGTAGAACAGTGTACGGCTAGATTGAAAAAGAGCAAAACGACAGTGAGCAACGACGCAAACCTTCGGATCAGCGAAATTCATGACAACAGCTGGAATCCCGCGCCCTCGAGAAATCCGGTTCGCACAGCCACGGTTGCGTCACGCTTTCGTTATTCTTCCGCGTCTCGTTCGCTCCTACGAATGGAAGCGAGAAGAGCTGCGAGAGCGCGCGCGCGCGCGCGTACGAGAGAGAACGAGGCAAAAGGAGAGGCTTACGTGCGTAACGGGAAGGAAGGGATAGAAGAAAAGGAAGAGGCGTTGATAGTCGTTTTCTCGTGGCGTCGTAAAAGAGAAAGGACAGTTGTCCGTGGGTGAGCCGTCGGAGTTCCTCCGAACAAAATGCAAAGCAAATTCAAGAAAGCACATCCATCCGTTGCTTATCCGTCTGTTAACAGACGAGGAGGAGCGACGAGAGTACTCGGAGTAGATCGGGCAGGTTCAAGGCTTCGTGGCTCGAGTACGACGCGCGCGCAAACCTCGTGCACTGCGGCTACTGTCGCAAGTGGAGCGCGAGTATGCCCGAGTTGCGCACGAGTTTCGCGCAGGGCAACGGCAACTTCCGTCTCGAGATTGCCAACCACCACGACAGATGCAAAGCTCGTACTTTATGCGTTGCCAAGGAGGCTCAATGCGTTTTCGACGCGTGATTGACTGTCTTCGTCTCTCTCTCTCTCTCTCTCTTCTCCTTCTGTGGATCACCAACGCGTTTTTCGGTTGTTTCAATTTGTCGCGAATCACGACTCGGCTGACTTCCACATGGCAGTGTTTATCCTCGACAGGTACATTCCAGCTGTTTTCCCATGAGTTTTGTTTAATCATTAAGCTTATCAAGTACACGTTGATGTTGCTGTGTGTACAAGACATATGAAAAAAAACCCAAATAATCTGTACAATAAACGTCGTTCTCGTACCCTATAGTTTAATTTTTCGCACGTCACGTCTCGCGTGCCAACTCGAGCGTGAGTGCGCTAGTGTGTTGCATGCCGCATAAGTGTGAAAGAGCGAAGTTAGACCCGACGTAAGTTTGTGGTTGTGCTGGCGACGCGACGAGACGAGCAAAGGGTTAGGTTATAACGTTTGATGCTTCGCAGGCACACCCAGTCAGTCTTCGGAGCGAGGATAGCGGCCCGACGACAGGCGGCTCGCTCAACGATAGCGTGCCGGGCATCGAATCGTCGGAGCATCACAACCCACCGGAGGTGGTCGACGGACTCGATGGTAAGATTTCTATCACACCTATATAACTTTCTCTCTCTCTCTCTCTCTCTCTCTCTCTCTCTCTCTCTCTCTCTCTCTCTCTCTCTCTCTCTTCTAGCTCTATCTCCTACCTCTGAGTATTCTTAACATCCTTTTCAAGCATATCGCGCCTACTTCTCGCTGAATTGCTTCTCCGATTAATGCGTAGCGTATCGTATCTTTGAACTGAGAAATACGCACGATATGCGAAATACTATATCTATATATTACAGATAAATATATATATTCCTACGAATCCTACATTTGCATGCACGTTTGTTTACGAATCATCGCGCGCAAGAGACGAAAAGGAGTGTCGCGCGGCTGCGTGTCGTTGATGTCTCTCTCCTCTCTATCATCTCTGCATCTCCTCCTCCCCATCCTGCCTCCCTTATATATGTATATATACACACCTTTGAGCCCTCGTCCCCGAGAAAGACTGGCAACTGTAGAGTCTCTACTTCGAGTGTTTCGTTAAAACGTCTGAAAGGGCAGATCGACGATTTTACTATTACCCCTCTTCCCTTTTCTTTACTTTGTTTTATTAGTGCTTTCTATTCATTTGTTTATTATTTATTATCTTTCTCTTGGTGATGGTGTAATATCGTATGCATTTGCTATGTCATTGTGTGGTAGTATGTTATTTATTTACCGACTTATGCTGCGAGTGTGTGCGTGTGTACTGTATCTTCTCTGTACATATATGAATATATACCTTCCTATTTATAAATAATCACTGTATGGCAACTTTTCTTTCGTGTCATATACATATTCAATTATTTCCTCGTATAAAAAGAAAGCGACGCACGAGCCCGAAGGCGCTTTTGGATTTTTTCTCTTCATGCAGGGGTGATTACGGATAATAACATCGCTGTGTGCATAGATGTTCGACGGCCTACGCGAAAGAGGAGGGTAGGTTGTTGCGTCTGTATACACTCACACACACACCTCGATGCTGCTGCGAATGTGTGCCCATCAATTAACGCTTTTTCGCGCCTCTAAATTAAGCTGGGTTTTCGCTCTCACGTTCATGTATTTATATAACGATGTACATACAAGTATCACAGTCTAAAATATTTAAGTCGACGCTAACAGAAAAAATATATATCGCTGTTTTGGCAAAGATTATCAGCCCAAACAACGAATGTAGCACGTAAAAAAGTTTATTTAAATTTTACATACATTGTTGCGATCAGTTCCAAACGATGTATCTTCTCTCCTCTTTTTCTCTCTCTATTTCGTTTTACAATGTAACATATATAACGAGGGAAAAGGTCCATTGAAGACTTGGAAAACAGCCACGTTTGAGGTCTATTGAATTCCCCTTGCATCAGCGACAGAAGGTGAAAAAGAGGGTGATCTCTCGAGGGGTAAGCATGAGGGAAAGAAGAAGAAGGAGAGAAAAAAAAACAGAGAGAGAGTAGAAAAGAGGGGCAGGAGAACTGGTAGGGGGATTAGGAGTAAGTATCGAGACGCGCGCGGAATTTCGTGCGCGAGGGTCGCTGAACCACACGCAGTTCGTGTAATAAAAAAAAAAAGCGCGGACGACGCAGGAAGTTTGAACTGACTGGCACGGATTTCGACACGCGAGCAAAAAAAAAACATATAAGCGAGTCGTCAGTATGCATGTATATATTAACGTATGTCCTCGACGCGCATTCATTCATTCTCTAACGCTTTTGTGCTTGCAATAACAGAGAGCAGCACGAGAGAGCGGCGCGGATTCGTAAGCACAGGGAACAATGTGTCCGCGTTATCGCAGCGTATTTGCACAATTAAGACTGTTACCGTGTGAGCGACCGAGTGCATGTGTTTGTTCGCGTAAAAATATTCTGAAAAAAGCTCGCGAAAAGCTTCAATACGTCTACAAATACCGTTGGATACGATTTTATTGCGCGTTCGCATACAAACACACACTCACACGCACATGCATACAAGCGCGACATGACTGATGCATTTGTTTGCACAATTATCTTCGCAGCATTGTTATCTCAATTGTCCTGCGTTATCCTGCCACTTGCAACGTGTGTTACTTTTTTTTTTCTTTTTTTTGTCTACGTTTTTTTTCTCTCTTTCCATGCGCCTCAAGGAAAGAAAAAGGAAAAATACTGCGCTGGACTTCTTTTTTTTTCTTCCATGCATGCGATAATGAAATGCATTAGTTGGAGATCAGGTGGGGTCATCAAGGTGAATTTATCGAGAAAATTAATTTTCCTAGCGAGCGCGTGTGTAGAGCGAGTACCTTGAATGATGTCACTCGCTTGCCTGTAGGCGATGCCGCTGCGCATTGCCAAGCATTAAAAGTCTGGGCATCATATTGGCTATGTGGATCAGCATTTATGCATCGGGCGAGACATTGTCAAGGCGATAACAAAGCCGTGGAATTCGCAGAACGAAAAAAAAAAACATAATATTCCTATTCGGCAGAATATCCTCGCGTTGGAGAGAACGAAAGGTTTGCCGCGAATGTGAAATAAGAAAACACGTGGGTGCACAGGAAAGCTTTGTCTACGTACACCTGTTTGTACGAGAGGCGAGGCTAGTTACATAAAAAGATATGTCGAGCGCAGCCTGGCAAGCGCACACGTAAGAGCGTGTGGTAATTTACATGATACATGTGTCCAAGTGGCTGTGCGCTGTTAGTCTTTTTTTTTTTTTTTTTTTTTTTTTTTTTTTTTTTTTTTTTTTTTTTTTTTTTTTTTTCGTCGATCGATGCATCATGCAGCGTCTTCTGCGCGACCTTCACTGATATATACCTATGAGTTTGTTGTTTTTTTTATCTCTCTCTTTCTCTGTCTCCCTCTAAGTAGAGCGTGCATACTTTGCTTCTTTTGTTTGATTTTTCTCTTCTCTCGAGTGCTCATGCTGCTCGAACTACAATTTTCATTAGTTTTGCTGTAATGAGTCGACATAAAATTCAAAAGTGAATTTTTTTTTTCATTTTTCTATTTGTTTATTCTCGTTTTTCTATTCTATGATTGGCCATCAACAAGTAGACACTGATTCCTATCCTAGTTTTGTTTAGTCACTTTCGTTTTGTTACTTTTGCCATTTGTTTGTGCCATAAAGTTGGACTTTTCAGTAATAGTAAAGTGTTTTTGCTGTGAGTATGAAGAGATCACGTCGAAGCGTTCGTGTACACCGTTTTGATAAACGTTCGTAAGCTCAAAGTCGTCAAGCAATTGGTCTTCCTAACCTCAAAAATCTTTGAGGTCAGGAACAGTGTTGAATGGTGTACAAAGGAAATGAAGGAACGCTTCGACAAGCTTGGAGTACAGTAAAACCAGAATGTTCAACAAGTAAGAACTGCATCCAGCTAGAAGTATAGAAATAAACAGAGCACCTAGTTGAGCAAACAATAAAAAAATGTAGAAAAGAATGGAGAATGAAACTGAAATATACGACAAACGCTTGAATTTGCAGGATTGAGCTGCGTGCAGCCGAGCAAAAAAGAGCCGAGGGATAGAGACAAAGAAGCGAACGGTATGAGCAAAGAAGCTCAGTTAAAGGTAGAAGGCGCTGGCGGCAGTAGCAGCATGCTCGGTGGTGTTGGCGGAGCCTTGGCAAGCGAGAGCTGCCGGCTCTGCGGCAAGAGCGTGGCCAACATAAAAAAGCACATGAAATCCCACTTCCCCGACAAGTATCAGTGCCATATCTGCATGATATCGCTAACGAGGTCCGACAACCTCAAGAGGCACATCAAGCTCAAACACGGCATCAGAGAGGGCTCGGCCTCGGCGGCTTCGCTGCTAGGCTCGCCCTACATGCGAGGCCTCGACGCCAAACACTTTCTTGCCAAATCCGAGCCCCCGTACCTCACTTAATTCATCCATGCCTAAGCTTGTCGGCTCTTCTGGCGCTTTCTCTCGAACTAAATTTTACAAAAACAGAGTATTATCTATTCCGTATACGTTTTATTTATTACTATTTATTGTTTGTCTATTTATTCGCGAATCCCTCGGCACAAAGGGATCTTGAAACGCACAGCTCTATCCGGTGTCGTTCCCGACTAAACAGTCTCTAGGCCACGTGTCACTTTGATTTCATTCATTCGTGCAGAATCACAGACTTGTGTGGCGATTTCTCTTTTCGTAAGGACATTTCTTTTTAGGTAATAGGATTGTGTGCAACATTTTTCAAGGTGTGTAATTACCTATTATTTGTATAATTATTATAAGTGTGCTCCCTTTTTCCAATTATTCATTTGTTTTCTCGGGTCATTACTTTGCTTATTTACTCAGTCCCAACAAAATATCGGGAGGCAGTGGGCTTTTCGCCTTTCCCGATAACCAAGATAACACTACCACAAAACTTTTAACACTTACACAAAAAAACGTGGGGTTTTTGAGGCCTTCCATTATACGATAGCACAGTGTCTTACGTCCTCGCGCGCAAAATATATTTTTCCTAAAAAAAAAAAGAAAAGAAAAGCTCGCGAAGAAAGTTGGACTTTATATAAGATTTTTACAAAAACATATGACTAACTATGGTTAAATAACATATCACTTGAAAGGTTGTATTTTATAACAGTTTATTGTAACGAATGAAGGTGATTTTTAGAATTGTCTTAAAAAGCTATTTTTACAAGTGTAGCTATATATCAGTGTTATTATATTATCGTTTCGAGAAACAAAACCAGATTTCCTCTAGCACATTAAGAGCCAAAAATTAAGACGAAAGGTTAGAATTTGTAAGATAAGTTTAAGATTGGTAAAGTATAACTAAAAGTAGGAAAGCCGAGTTTCTTAAAAACTTCGAAAGCTACTAGTTGTAACCGTACTTTTACTTAGAATTAAGATATTTTCCTACTAATGATCTTCAGTACAAAGAGTAGCGCGAATCTATTTTTTACTGAAAAAGAAAACAAGTTTTCACCACGATTGAGAACCTTCATCGCGGGTACCGACGTGTTCTCCGCGAATCCATATTCGGACTTAGTACGCGTACTTTTTTTATCAGCCAACCGGTGCCAAATTAGTAGT